TATTGCTGGGTTTACATTTCAACATCTGATCAGTGTTCAGAGGATACACAAGCAAGGTAATGTGGTTTTGTTTTAGTTTTTTAATTACTAAATGACACCTTTTAAAAAATTTTATCTTGTATATCCAAAGAGAGCTTACGTTCACATAGTGTTTTTAAGGGAACAGTCCCATTTGACCAGGAGACTTTGCCTTCAAGAGATCATGGGCTTACAGTTTAAGCAAAGTTCCAGAGTGTTTTTCATTCATTTAAAGACTGAAGAGGAAGAGCTCTGCAAGCCACTGCCACTGAAGTACTCTCAAAGTGCATTACAGAAAGAGGAAGCTGTTTGCCATGGGGGAATTGGAAAATGTAGATTTTGCAAGTAACGCATATTGTGTGTTTTGCTAGTGTGGGGTGGGGGATGTTACTTTTTCTTGGTTTTGTTCTAGTTTCTGTTTCTTGGTGGTGGCAGTTGCTCTAGTAGTAGTCTTACTGATGCTTAGGTTCCAGATGTCAAGGTGTGTATTAATATTGAGAAGTCTCAAGTGCTGAGCAATGTGATATTGTTCCATTGTCCTGACGTGTTGTTTTAAAATAGGGGTATTTACTTCAGTTTTCCTGAATGTTCTTGGAAATACTGTGGTTTTGCAGAACTGGTATATCCTATGTAGCAGTGACTGGGTGATTAATTACAACTTGTCGGGTTCATTAATATTTTTGTAGTGGAGAGACTGGTCCCATTAGTGATTCTGTCTCACAATCTAGCCATTCTCTCCTTTTCCTGGAGCTATTTGGTAACTGTTGAATTTACTGAGAAGGCAGAGACAGCAGTATATATTTACTGTAAAATAAAACTGTCCATGGTTAGTGCAAATTTAGGACTAGTTTAAGAAGTGACAGAACTTGCATCTAGCTCTATGGTTTGAATTATTCAAGCTCACTCCTGGCTTCTGCAGGTATGAACGTGTTATACAATAGATCAGCGTGTGACACTGAGTTACCATTGTATGCAGCACAGTGAGAGACAACTGACTTCTAATAAAGTAAACTATTCTTACAGAATCATTTAATATAAGCATTCCTTTTGGAAACAACAGTTCAGTTACATTTTCTTATCCTGTACTAGCCCACATGTTATTGAAGAAGTGGCTTACAGCATGATTTCTAAAATTATTAATAAAAGTACACTGTGCTCAGGCTACATCCATGTTGTATAAATTTAGGGAAAATGTATTCTTATATTATGCCTTTCTAATGGGAATCCTTCTTGCTTGGGAGTCCGTCTTTGAATTTACTTTTTTCCGCAAAACTAATTTTCTATCGAAGTGCCAAGTTATTAACAGAAAAACTTTTTTTTTAAACAAAATTACAATTTAAAAGATAAGTTTTCAGTAGATAGTGATGCATTTTTAGAAGGAGTAATTTACTGAACCAAATTAGGTTTAACTCCAGTAGTAGTAATCTATAGGGATATTCAGAATGCTCATTTTGCAGTACTTTTATGTCTTGTTACTAATGCAAGTCTGTCCTAATTTGTGCCTGTGACATTAATGCTTAATGGTAGGTGTACCAGCTTTTAGGCAGATTCAGAGTTGTTATCTGTTTCACCTTTCAGAAGCAATTTAAAGAGAATGGCTAATGCTTTGGAATTTTGTTTCTAAATCCACTGTATTAGGTATTCATTATAGCAATACGCTTTTGGATACGTAGTGTGGACAGAAATGTAACCACAGTTTGTTTATTCAAAAATATCTAATTAAGTCGACTATTGTAGTTTTTTTCTGAGTTTTGTTAGATGGGAAATTTTGCTAAATTGGGTTAAATTTGAGGCAAGAACATATCATTTGGGAACTGGCATTTCAAAGATGGTGTATAGTTCAGCTTTGTATGCAGCTCGTATCTGGCATAGGTTAGGTAGCCATATGTGAAATAGAATTGTGTTTGCAGAGAAAATCTTTTTAATCACAAAGATAAATCAAACCAGATGGTCCAGATTTTTTTTTTTTTTTTTTTTTTTTGTGTGAATGCATTTGCTTAGTCCACAATCTTCAAGCATTGGAAAGAACGATTTGTTAGGGTTTTTTTTTTTTTCTTTTTTAGTGTAAAATATTAAGGTTTCACTTTAGTCTTCTACACTTCAGCGATCAATTCTGAAATAATCTAGTGATAATAAATTCTGAATCAGAATTACTTCCAGTTACACTTTTTGATAACTGCTAATCTTTGTGCTTCCTTTCCTGAGAAGATAAGGCAGTGACGGGTTTTTTTCTGGTATTATTAGCTAATGTTTCATCAGAGTTGTATGTGAAGTGGTGGGGAATTCTGTAAGGCTTTACCAGACATACATGTCTGGTATGAAAATAAAACATTAGCTTTCATTTAACAGAGCATGCCATACTGTTTCTCAAATATCATGCGTGTCTTCCAGTATAATATTCTGTTGTTGATTTGTGTTAGGCCTTGTTTTATTAAACAGGTTTAAACACTCAAATATTATTTTACAAGCAAAACACTATCTTTTTATCAAGTACAAGTAGGGTTTTGTGCTGTTGATACGCTGTTACTATGGCTGATAATTGGAGGGTTTTAAATGATTTATGTTCTTGCTTTAGGGAAGATTTAGTGCAGAATGTAAAGGTCACAATCACATCGTACAGAAACTGGGCACAATATTTTTCTCAGCAAAGATTAGACTAGCAGAGTTGAAGAAGAATTTGCATGTCATTTATGATTTGGGTGGGAAATGGGCAAGAAAATGGAAATTGCTGTCAGCTGGGAGTCCTAGCTTTGCAACATCAAGGGGTTTTGTAACATACTCATTGGAAATATGAGTAAGTACATAGTCCTTTCTTTTTGTGTAGGGTTATAAGCAAGCTGTTAGTGCCCTAAATGACACCAGTCTTGCATGAAATGTTTTACAGTCCATCAGTGAACTGGCCTTTTGCTATTGGAGATGATTGTGGAAAAGACTGCTTGAGCCAGTGATATACCATCACGTGCTTAAAAACATACTTGCAGCCTAGGGGAATGTACTCTGCTTAAAATCATTCCTTATACAGATACCAGGATGTAGAAGTTATTCCTATCTCTTTCTCTTCTGCGTCCAAGAAAGAAAAAGAAGTTCTGCATTCCTGGACTGGGAAACTAGACAATGTTGATACATGTAGCAGAATTTGTCCAGCTAGGACATACAACCTAGTGAAGTTTAAATATGATTTATTAACCTCAACAGCCCCAAATGCTACAGCTGTTAATCAGACCAGTGTGTAAACATTTTGAAATTACTTCTGTAGGTGCTTTGATCTTAAATTTGATCTAAAACATGGGGGAAGAGCTATAAAATATAGACATTATAAACTCTCAAAAAAAGGAGAGGTTTTAAATCGAATTCTTTGGCTACTGGCCATGTTTCCATTCTCCCAGCTGAATGAGTGCACTGGTGTGGAAGGATACCTTATATAGATGAGAAAATTTAAATCTGTGTATAGCAGTCTTAATAAGAGGTTCAGACAGTTAATCAGGACACTGCTACATCATCAGCCCAAAATACAAACCCTGGGCAAGTGAGAGATACTGTTTCAAGGGAAGTTTCAGTTCAGTTTCCATTCAAAGCTTATCTAGTAAAATCACTTTTCCTTCCCGTCATTTGAACCATGTCATGTCTGTATTCAGATTTCTTCTAAGGATTTTTACTGGTTTATATGATTATTTTTTCTTTTTTGCCTCCTCTCTGAGGCAGTGCAAAGCTTTGCTGTCCAGTCTCCTGGATGTTTTCATTTCTTCTCACCATTGCCTCATGCACATTTTACCATCCTCTTGCATGGTCATTCTCTTTTTTTCCTTACTGTTTTCAAGTCATCTTTTCTGTGTCCTGTAAGCACACAGTGTCATCATACCTTCATTATCTGACTCATCTTTAAAATATTCTTCTGCAAAACTTAAATCACAGTTCATGAAGTATTCTATATTAAGAAATCCATGGTGAAACAACATTTATCTTCCTCTTTTAGGTCCTGATACAGAAAAGGACTTAATCCTTTATTTAATATTAAGCCAGAGAAACTACATTTGTGCTTCTCCATATTCGGGTTCAAGTTGAACCCACAATAGCTCTGTACTTGATTTTACCATTGTCCTTCTTGTACCCACTTCCAGTTTTCACTTTCAGGTGGGTAATTTCACATAATACACTCAGTTTTCCATGGTTCCTCTTGCTATTCTTGTTTTTTCAGTAGTTTGTGTATCTGTGGCTCTATAAAAATAACATTCTGCAAAGACTATTGAAAAATATATTTCTTGCAGAATGAAGGAATCAGTATTTTTAGTAATCAAGTATTTTCAGCAACTAACTGTACTTTGTGCATCAAAGTTCAAATTCAGATGGTGGAAATCCCGCTGGAGTAGCTTTACTTATTGCTGGTAAGAATTGGAGTTAGCGTCACTATATCTGTTAACTGAATTGTTTATAGTTTCCCAATTTATGAAAGGTGGTTCTTCTCCCTTCTGATCTACAGTGTTTTGTCCTTTAATATCAATACTACTACATGTGGTCTCTTACTAGCTGAAAGCTAATCGCCTGTCTTGCATTTGTGGCATTGATCTTATCAGTTTTCTGTAATAACAAAGCTTTGCTGCTGTTTGCAGAGGTGTGAGTAAGACTAAAAGGAGCTCTTTCTATAGTACCAGCAGGGAATGCAGCACACCAAGTTAGTATGTAGGACAGGAAGATTTCCGAGTTGGTTTATAAGCTGTTTTGCATTCTTGTTTGGGAACGTGAGCAGTCTACCGAAGATTTGCATTGTGTTTATTTGCCCGGTTTCACCATCATTTCTTCCCACTTTTACTTGCAGGTTAGTCACCTACTCCAGAGAGAATCAGAACAATGTCCTACGTTTTTGTAAACGACTCTTCCCAGACAAATGTGCCGCTGCTGCAGGCTTGCATTGATGGAGATTTTAACTATTCCAAACGACTGTTAGAGAGCGGTTTTGACCCAAATATTCGTGACAGCCGAGGCCGAACTGGCCTTCATCTTGCTGCAGCCAGAGGAAATGTAGACATCTGTCAACTCTTGCATAAATTTGGTGCTGACCTACTAGCCACTGATTACCAAGGTAACACAGCCCTTCACCTGTGTGGGCATGTGGATACCATCCAGTTCCTAGTTTCCAATGGACTTAAAATTGATATTTGGTAAGTCTTTTTTGTTTGTTTGTTTGTTTTACAGCACATACTACAAAATATATTAGTCTTCCGCCGTTAGAGCCATATGTATAAATCTGCTGTTGCTGAAATGCTGTATTTGGTGCAATTCAACTTTTTTAAGATATCAATTAAAAACACAAAATAAGAAGGCAGGAAAACAATAAGAGGCCAATTCTAGTCTGTGCAACAAGCAAAGCAAATAAAAATAGCAGCTGCTGGTGTGGGCTGCTGTATCTAATTCTTCCTCACTGATGACATTGCTATCCTGGTTTGGCCAGACAGCCAGGTGTGGGTGGTTGGCACCAAAGTAAAAAAATCACATTGACTGCTTTAAAAGAATTTTCTCCACCACAGTTCTATTGTTTTAATTGATGTACTGTATCAGACAAAGAAAATACAGTATATCTGTGTGTCAGTTCATTCCCGTACTCCTTCGGTAACAATGCTTCCTTTCAGTGTTTTCCCCCTCCCTCAAAGTCTGTGACTCAGTCCTTCTTTTAAATATTGTATATTCTTTCCTTCTGGCTTCCAGCAGCTGTCAGATGCCAGTGCTCAGATGTAAGCTCTCAAGTTGCAAAATAACTAGCTGTTTCATTGCAGTAACTGAATTATTTTGTTCGTGGAACTTTCTGCATATTCACAGCGCATGCAAAAAACAGTAGTAACTTCAAACCTTGGAATTTTTTAATCTGTCCTTTTTTCACCTGTCCCTCATTAATGTTTTCAACTCAGCAAAATAAATCTGGCAGACCAGATTCCTTATGGGTTGTGGGTTGGGTGGGGTTTTTTTCCTCATTTCAAACAACTCTGGTGAAAATCCCTAGTCTGAAGGCAGTTCTGGTCCTATTCAGTATTATTTTAATAGTAGCAGAGGGACCATCTGCATTTTATTTCATTTTTGCCTGATGTCCTAATACCCACATGGAAAAGGAGCTATGAGGGACCAGATTGCACAATTCCTTCTTGAAATTAAGCTTAATCTTGAACATTGCCATGAATCTACTGTTTATTTTTTGTTATAACACCCAGAGATTCCAATTAGGTTAGAGTACTAGGAATTTTGATTTTATTTAGAGGAAAAAGACTTGTGCAATTTCAAATCTAAATATACTGATTTTCTCCTATAGCCAATTATGCTATAGCTTGTATAGGTAGGAATTTCTTACTGTCCGATATAACAGAAAATAGTTCTGAGGACTTACTAAATTGTAATGTGTTATGCTGAGTTGTCTTGTTACAAAATTTCTATGTTAAAAGTTTCTTTTCTTCTCATGTCCTTTTGTGGGGTTATTTTAGCAATCACCAAGGTGCAACACCGCTTGTTCTTGCAAAACGAAGGGGTGTGAATAAAGATGTGATTAGACTGCTGGAATCTTTAGAGGAGCAAGAGGTGAAAGGATTTAACCGAGGAGCTCACTCAAAGCTGGAAACAATGCAAACTGCTGAAAGCGAAAGGTATTTACAAAACAAAAATAATTACTAGGAGAAATAATGTTTATGGCTTTTAGATTTTTGTGATTGACTTGGTTGCTTATTCCTCAAAACAGATAATATCAAATTTGGCCTGGTATTATCAAACCAAACCAAAATCAAATTTTAAATTCTGGAAAAATCTCTTTAAACATCTAAAATGTAAGAAAAAAAGAACTTTTAAGAATTTAATTTTATGGTGGAAATTTTTAAATATAATTACTCATTTTCCATTACAGACTCCCAAAAATAAATATTCTACCACTTACCACAAAGCCAAAGCGAAAATGGGGTGAAACATAAAATGCCAGTATCACAGGGTAACCTAACGTCCTTTCGATAAGATGGATTGTCTATGCAAAGAAGGGATAGCAGACTTTTCATCTATCTGAACTTAAATAAAGGATTTTATACAGTGCCATATATGAAATTTCTATCAGTAGTGGCATAGAAAGTAGTAGCATGTTAGTGATACTAAGAAGTGAGATGTAGGCAACCCAGAGGAAAATTGGGATGACATAGGCAAAAACCTGGGATGACAAGGGAGAGGAAATTAGTAGGAATAAATTGTGATTCAGTAGCACAAAATGCATCTTCAGTATGCTGTAAAATGGAAGTTCCTCAGTGGAAAACGAGGATATAGGAGAAAAGGCTTGATGTATTAGTTCCAGGAGTTGATGCTACCCTGAAAAAAGCACTGAAGTCCTACAATGCGCAAAATGAGATATTTCCACTACATAAAGAAAACTGTCAGTGATGTTGTGAAAAGCAATGGTAACTTCTGCTGTGTAGTATGTTTTATAATGCTGTTTAGCCCCATTCAAAAAAGTTTAATTTATCCTTTAAGAAGCGTGGAGAAGCATTACTTCAGTGCTGAAGGGAACAGAGCGTCTCCTTGCAAAAGGAGGCAACTAGAGCTTGTTTTAGCCTGGCAGAGTGAAGGCTGAGAGGTGTGTCGTTGCTGACAAGGTTTAAGACAAAAGATGATGATAGCACAAGAGGCAAAGGATACATACAGATAAACCACAAATACTTTTTTGATTGAAAATTGGGAGTGGTTTTTTACAATGAGCTTCCAAGACAGCCTTCTTGTAGGATTTAGATGAGGCAAGAAGCCTTGCAAGTTTCAAAGGAGGCTAATTCTCTTGCAGAAATCATTGAATTGCCAGTAAACATGACAGAACATGGACTGAGATTAATAGTGCAAGAGATCTTTACAGTACTATTTTGCTTTGTTTTGTTTTGGTTTTTTTTTAATTTATATTGGAAACAGGATATCAACGTTGTTTGGAATACTTGCTCCTGTACTGAATTTATTCAAATTTGGAATTTTTTATATTGTCTAAGAATGATCATGAACTGTGACTGCTGGAACGTTATATCACAAAAGACAGGGAGTTTTGTCACGTAATTGTTTTTAAGTTTGTGTCAAAATGTACGCAGCCTGTACTGTAAATGAAAATTAAGCTGTATAGATGGAGTTGTTATCTAAGTTGAGTAAACAGAAAAGGTGAAACCAACAAAGTTACAGAAATCATGCCAAATGATCCCAGTGAGCAGGTTCATTCTTATACATCAGGTGACCCCACTCATCAGAGACTGTTTTAAGCTCTGAAATAGAAAATTTAACATTATTCTCAAAATTACATGGGTATAAATTATAAGAATTTGTGTATATTACCTTTCTGACTTAACAATTTTGTTGAAAGTTGCTTGTCACACAGAAATGCACTTATGCTGTTTTTGCTTAAACATATGGACCAACAGCTCAGCCCCATTCAAATTCTGATTTTTGATTTGATAGTGTCCCTTTAATGAACATAGCTTCCTTTCTGCTATTTGACCTTCGTAAATGTTATATTGTTTGCTTTGGCAAGGAAGTCAGCAGCTCTCCTTGGGGAGAGGCACAGAGACATAAACAGTGCGCTACCCAGCTTGTTTGTGAACGTGTTTAAAATATCTGAAATACATTATTTTTAAAATAACAAATAACAGATGCCTACAGCAGCAAAAGCAAGTGAGCTTGTGTGCTGTTTGCTTTGTAAATAAATAATGTCTTTGTAACAGTTTTTCAGACCTCCACAGTTTCGCTCGTCCCTCTTAGTATTATTTTCACATTTTAGAGACACTTAGATGAAATGTCTTCTGTCCCCTGCCCCCCCAGCTCTCTTACATTATGTATGAACCTATGGAGGAATAATGGTTGCTCTTTCCAAAAGCAGCCTCTGACTGAAGTTTTCTGCTCCTTATTGCATACAGTTGCTGCTGCTCTGCAAACAGAGGCCAAAGCTAGGTTCCCAAGTCAAATTTCTTTGCTCTTGCTTTGCACTCCTCCCAGTGAGGAGTGGCACTGTGCTGTCGGGAGGCAGAGCTCGCTCTGTCTGTTTTTCAGCACAATCTGTCCGTCTACACAGCCCAGCATGACCCGTGGCTGTGCCCACAAGTGCATCCAAATGTGAACTTCCACGTTGTGTTGGAAACAGAAGAGAACATCTGTCTGGGCTATGTGGCACAAACTTCTGTAGGATGCATTGCTGCATTACCTTTTCTTAAGTAGCTGTGATTTGTAATAAGAAAAAATACCTTGAATAACATTGATTTTAATTGACATAATTAAAATCATTGTTGTAATATAAAACAGCAAAAGCGTTTTCTATGTACCCTCTTCTATTTAATGAGCAAGCATGTGATCTTTTCACTTAAATTGCATTGCACCTTTACTTAACCTCTCTGCAGTTACGTATTAACTAGCTAGTACTTAATGAGTGAGTAGTTCTGTTCTACACCAATGGCTGTCTTTTATTAAACCCTTTGTTTTGCTTGGGAAATCATAATAAGCAAGGAAGATGACTAAATCCTGCAGCTATAGGCAAGCAAAAATAGCTTTACAGCAAGGTAAATATTTTAAAACCAAAAAACCCAAGCTGTTTAATAGGCAGTTTCTGAAATCATCTGTATGCGATGCTGCAATACTTCAGCAAGCTATGGGAGTTTAGGCTAATTATTCTTCAGTGGCTGTAATTTCTAAGAAAAAATACCGTATGAATAGTGTGAAGTTTTTCCATGGTGTAATCTTAGAAGTGCTATTCATAAATGAGACCTTTTTCTGATAGCAGTTATTTGTCAATTTATTATTGTCACCAAGAACAATAGCCTTTCTACAGTTAGTTTTGACTTGGAAATTACTTCTCTCTGAAATGTTTTCTTTTATTATTGCTGTAAGAGATATCTAGGAATATGGTAACTGAAAGCAATTAGAAGGGAGGAAAAAAACTGGGTTTTCTGTGCTTACCTTCTGCTATTGACATCATTGTGTACGTAGTTGGTTTCACCATTTACTTTTGTGCTTGTCAGAGCCTGGTCCTGTAAACGCCTGTGTATGTAATTTCACTCAAGTGAGTAGTAGGACTGTGCAGATGGATAAAATTTTACATAAGTGAAATCAAGCTATGGGAAAGTTTTCCTATTCTTTGTAAGGTTTTTCATAGAGCAACAGAGAAAGTTTCCTGTTACAAACCAATTGTGAAACCAGCAAAATTGGGAGAATGATACAAGAAGCCATGTAGTATTTGAAAAAACTTACATTTTTTCCAAAGGTGATTCATTGTCAAGGTGACTGTTTCATTCTAATTTTATTTTTGTTTCTCATTTAAAAGTGAGAGTTCCAGTCACTAATTTATAGTCTGACAGTTTAAGGGGGCCTGATGGATTGGTAGTGGAATGTTAAAACATCAAAGCAGTTGCTGAATGCCACATGGCAGAAAACACAGCAATACCAACTTGTCTTGAAGATCAGAAAGTTTCTGAACTTCTTGTTATCCAAAGTTATTGATTTCTGTGATATTTTTATGCTAGAGAAGAGGCCTCTGTAGCAAAGACATGCAGGAGAGTAATAAAGATCACTACAGAGTTCAGAATATAAATTATATTGGTTAAAGTTTCCATTTTAGAGTTTATCTTTAAATCATAATTTGTTTTATTAACAAGAGCTGTGCCCCTTGAGGTTTTAGCTTATGCTTCATTAGATTTTACTAAGCCATATTTAGTAGGAATTATGAGGACTTTTGAAGGCTTCTAGGTGGCGAGCCTGCAAACTCAGTGCAGTGGTACAGATACAAATATCATTCTCTTTACACAGGTTAATAAAACATCCATTCAACTAAATTGATTTTAGAGTTAGGAGTCTTTTCCTGATCTGCTTTGTCTTGATTTAGCAGAGGCAATGCTATAAATCTGCAGGTGGGTTTAGTTTTTAATTTAGCATGTTTCGGTTGCTCTTAGTAGGATTACTGTCGTACTTAAAGGTGCATTCTTTTGCTCTGATGTATTTTTAACTTTAATCCTTCATAGTGCGATGGAAAGCCATTCCCTCCTTAATCCAAACCTACAGCAAGGTGAAGGAGTTCTTTCCAGTTTCCGCACGACATGGCAAGAGTTTGTGGAAGACCTGGGCTTCTGGAGGGTGCTGCTCCTCATCATTGTCATTGCTCTTCTGTCGCTTGGAATAGCATACTATGTTAGTGGAGTGCTTCCTTTTGTAGAAAACCAGCCTGAACTGGTGCACTGAAGCGAATGCAAAGAAGTGCACCATGCTTTTCCCTGTTCTAATCTTATTTTGAGCTTCTTGGAGTTATTCTCTTGGTGCAGGCAGTGGCAGCTGTATATACTGTTTGCCTTTTGTACTTGTTATTGACCCCTTTGAAAGAGGGATTAATTAATTTCAAGTAAAACACTAAATTCTAAAGCATTCCTAAGCTACCTCTGACTTACCTTGACTTGAAAGCAAGATGTGAAGGTAATTGTCTCTGATAAAATATTATGATTAGAAAAGGCCTTTCATAATGAATATTAAATTCCTGGGCATGAAAAATATATCCTAGTACAGAAGCAAATTTGATTTATTTTCCCTATGAAGAGAGGTAAATCTATTGTTGGGGTTTTTTTGTGTATGCTTCAGTTAAAAGAAAAATACTCTTTTAAAAGTCCTCAAGAAATCTGAATAATATAATAATGCATTCTGATATATAGACAGTAATAAGATGCAACGTCATAGTTCTTTTAATGCCTCCCCATAGTTTCATAACTGCTGTTTATAAAAAGAATGAGAAATAGTTCAAGTTTTACTATGTCTTTAATGTATAGATCACTCGTTTATTAGGTCAATGTAGTGTTTCTTCCCCAGATTAATTCAATGTTGTTAATACCTGCCTGAAGTAAATTTTGTAGAACAAAGCTGTTTGTTGTGCTTTGGAAGTAAAGTTGTTTCAGCCTTAGGCTGAAAATTTTGCCTTTTTGTTGAAATGTTACTAAGCAAACCTTTCTTTGTAAGGGTGGTTAAAAAGTGATTTAGGTGTTCTGCTCTGTATATAATAATTCTGTAAGGTCATTGTGAAATATGTCATGAAGGATAACTTTTTCTTCCTCCCACAAGGACCAGACTGAACCATGTAATTGTATTGTTTTCATGTTTGTGGAGAGGACTTGATTGAATAGAATTCCTTTCTAGAATTGTTTTCCTTTCAGTTGTTTTCAGACAGCACTTACAGGCTTATGAATTATTTTCTGAGTATGCAGAATAAAAGTATTTAAAATGTTAATATTTAGGAACATTGTATGAAATGAAATCTTGACCCATTCTGTACTTAGCTGTAAAATCCTTTGTTTGTAAATAACCTAGGGATACGAACCAGTTAGATACTCTTTTATGAAGACTAGGAAGGTACTACATAGTAAGTTGGAGGTTTTCAAAGAAAGCAGATTCTCTTCTCCCAGGCCAATTAGACATCTCACTCTCTTTGTTGCCATTGCCTTGAAAATCCCAAACAAAATGAATTCTGCAAACCTAATGAATCGATTTCTTTTTTTTTTTACTTAGCCATTCCTAAATTGTTGCAAAATAACATCAAACATTTATAAAATTATAAATTACAGTAAGTATTGATAGAAGTAACCTACATCTCTCTGTTCTGTTACCATTTGTATTTTTCTTTCTGGTTTATGGGTTTGAGTGAAGAGGGTTGTTGGTTTTGTTTTGATGTGTGACATGGGCTTCACTGAGTGGGGCCCCATTCTAAATTGCATCTGAATATTTTTTTTATCTCATTTCTTAAGTTAGAGGTTAATGAAACAATACTTTTCTAGCAGCCACAATGCTGCAGAAAGGAAAGCCTCTTTAAAAAAAAAAATAAAACAAAAAAAAAAATCCCCCCAAAACAGAGCATACTCCTCTTCTTGAATATTTGAAATGTTGTACATCTATTCATGAACAGAGAACTATAAACTGATAGTATACCTAAATTACATTTACTTCTCTAAATAAGTACATTTCTGTTAATAATACTCTGTATCTTGAAAAACCATGTTGTCTTTCAGTATGTTTTATCTGCATAATTTGTAATTGTATTCTCAGTATGGGTGAATGCCACAAATAAATATATGTAGTAAGTATGTTTTGTTTTGTTATTACATCAGTGCAGCGGTAGTGAATCTACCCCATTTTACTGAGTTTGTTGTTGTTTGCTTGTTGTACATTGATGATGAGCATTTCAGAAGTGGGGAGGTTCCTTCCCTGAGAAATGACAACCATGCTGTTGGTATAAATGAGGTTTTAGAGCACCGTTTCTTTAGATTTGCGTGTTTTATTTTCAGTATTGTTACTGAATCACAGTTTGTGTCTGTCTGTCTCTCATCTAAGATTTTGGGTATTGAACATGTGATGTAGAGGCCCCTCGAGATTTAGGATTACCTATGAGGGGGTACAAAGTATAACCAAGAAAACCAAGCTTGAGCCTTAAGCAGCCTTTCCTACTTTGCTGTACTTTGCTTACCCTGTATGCATAAGCAGTTTCGGAACTCTGCATTGAAAAGGTTTGAAAAATCACATGTGTGTTCCAAATTAACGTATGTCACTTTTTAATCCCAAAGAAATCCAAAGCACTGTCTGAACTTCACTGTGTAAATGACTGCTACTCTTTGAAATAAGGACGTGATAAATGTCTGACTAAAGAGGAGTTCTGTATATACCTCTATTATTGAAAAACGGCAGCTGTGCCTTTCAATATATCTATAAACATTAATGACTTCCTTTTCAAAGGTTGATTCTGAAGAATGAATTTACCTCCTGTACACTAGATTTCAGGGAATACAATCTGTCTTTCTTACAGGAACAGAAAGAGGACTTTAGCCTACTTCCTCTTGAAGCTGTTGTCATAGGGAGTTTCACTGTTTCAGCATAGTGACATAGATCAGTTTCGATTGCCTGTAAGTCAAGATTTCTTTTGTCTGTTACTGCAGTGGTGTCTAGATACTTTGATCCAGGGACTCCATTCTGCTATTCACTCTTCAAATCCAAGACAGATTATTGTCTCAAGCTGTTCTCAGACTAGTGAGCTAAAATGGAATAAGGAATTGAGAGAGAAAACAATCATGGAGGGATGCAGTGATTTTTTCCAGTGTCATAAAATAACTTCTTGGACAAGGTAGCACAAAGTAAAGGTAAACTGGAGTATGAAATGGATGCACATAGGCTACTCTGCGTTTATTCCATGGCAAGATCACACCTATCTTGCCTCCTAGTAACTTGTTCATGTACTGTATCTTTTTATCTTCAAGGGCTTCTGTTTTCACTCATATTGGTAGTTTGCTTTGTAGAAGGGGATGGTCTGTTGTGTGACTGTCATGGGTAGGTATTGTTTCTGGTTGCAACAATACAGCAGGTATTTCATTACTGGACATGATCTGGCACTGTGAGGTGTATCATCATGAAAAGCTCCTATGAGAGAAAGAACATGGTTTCACTACATGGTTTCACTTTAAAGTATTGAAGCAGAAGATCTAGGTAGTTTCTGGGTCTGCAGCTGATCTGGAGTTTGATTTTAGCATGAGTCAACTAATCTTTCTGGCTGTTTTTAATATCTTAAGTAAGTAAAAACAACCAACTCGTCAGTGTATTGTAGATGGGCTAGTTAGCTAGGTAGCTCTTTTTCTAATCAAAATATGTTTGGTCATAATATGTTAGAGAAATGCAAATTAAGTAATTTATTCAGAAATTCAATAGCATCATTTTAAAGTAGTACTAGAAAATACAAATTGCAAATGAAAACTCTCCTGCAAACTCAAAAGAAAAGGGTAATATTGTCTGTTGTCATATTCAAAATTTTCAAAAAGTCTAGCATATATTTAAACATTACCTGAAGTTGACTTTTAAAAGAACTGATTTCTTCCTCAGCTGACTCACAAGTTAACTTGTTTCTGAAGCCAGTTGTTTCTGAAGCCAGTTGTTTCTGAAGTTGTTCCTGTTTCTGAAGCCAGCTCTTTGTTAAATTAATATTTGAATTGGTGATTAAAATAAGTCTTAAATGATGTGAGAATTAGGTCAGAATGCTTTTCCTTCATTCAGTGTTCTTTTCTTACATTTCAACATTAATCCTTGTAGATTGGTTACTTGGGATACACTTCGTGAAATTTCCTGAGTGATCCAGAACGTTACAGCAATTGTTGTTGCCAATTGTTACTACATTTCTCATCTCTGGTGTTGGGGCTTTCTAGAATTCAAACATCATTGTACAGTTTCATAACCTGCAGTTCTCTGTAAACTTTGTAAGTGCTGAAGCACTGTTGACTCATGAATCTTGAATCTCTATTAATATTTTGAAATTAATTTCTGGTGACAGTAGAGAATTCTGTACCTGCACTTGCAGAGTAGTATGATGCACCTGTTATCTTAAACATATTTAAGTACTTCAGCTGAATTTTATGTTGCCTGGCATCTATTTTACTGCTCTTACAAATGCTTCAAAGGGGGGATGCTTTTAAAATATAAGGTATTAGGAAACAATGCAACTAATGCAACTAATTGGTAGTTCTTTGCTATTTATTGCTGGGAAGCAAAGTGTTCCCAGGGTCATGCTGCCAGAGAAATCTGAGATGAAAACTAGAAGTCTCCGACTGACAGTGATCTGGTTTAGTCTGTGCTCTTACGCAAAGCAGAACTAATGCTCTGATGTTGCAGCTGAAGCAGCCTGTGTGCAGAACACTGAAAAATGTGTCTCTGCTGTAGGCATTTGTAGTTTGTAAATGATTGTTGTAACTAAGCATTAAGCAACCAATATTTCCTAACGACTATGATGAGACAAAACTATTGTTCTTCATTACAGCCAAGGGAAATCTACTGGAAATTGCCATAACTAAAAAGCAACAAATCAGAATTTCTTCTGAAGTCAAAAGCGTGAACAAGTCACAACTGTGGCTTCAAGTGACACATTCTTTCCCTTTGTGATTTTAAACTACCTTCTGGATAGGGAAAAATGAGGAGACATTTGGAACAGAATTTGTTGTGTGGTACATACGGTTTGCAGAAAATGGGAGGGAAATGAATGCAGTGAGCCAAGACAGCAGCAAGGGAGACAGAGCAGTGTGATACCTTCATGAATCACTGCTTAAAGGCCAATCCCAATGCTTGTTAAGAAGTGCGAGGAGTGACCAGTAATAGCCTCCTAGCAGGAGAAGGATTTCACTGGCTTGTGATTACACCATCTCACGCCGGTGGCCATGCAGCCCTGCAACCTGAGCTGGCCCTTCTTGACTTTCAACGTCTAGAGCGCTGCTATTTCAGACAACTGCATGTTTGAATGTGTGCCTACATTAACAGCTGCTCATGTGGAAGCCGAACTGGTTCCTCTTATACAAGAACCCTTCTGCACATAGGTTAGCAAAGGAAGTTTTACCAAATGCGAACAGAAGCTCTTTGTAAAACATTAAATATTTCTAGTGTATTAAATTATGCTTATCTAAATATCAGAAGGCAGGAATCCAGATGAAGGATATGCGATAATACCTCATTTTCCTTTGCCAAAGAAAAAAATAACAGATAATATTCTCTTATTGCAAAGCAAGAAGAAAATCAAGTAAATTTGTTTTGAACTGTAGAATATGAACTCCTTATT